TAACTAGTTGTTTTAAAGAAAACCTTCCTGGCAACGATTGGCAAAAATTGTGATTACTCAAAGGAATGCTGAAAATATAAAAAGATCCAGAGCAGAAGTTCATGATGATGTAATAAACCAATATTGTTACAGAAGTAAAGAAAATAAGGGATGCTTTGCCAGGACCTGGTTAGCCAGGGAAACAACAAAATTTTGTGAAAAAAGGAAACTCAGAATATTAAACTATTCTTCAACTTGTCTAATTTTTGCCGACACTGGAGGAGATCATTTACTATTGTATGTTGTCTACCAGGCAAATCTTTTAGGTTTTTTTTAACAATCCTCAAAGGTTTTTAATAATTTTTATATTAATAAATTAGATCCATATGTAAATCAATTTTAGGGCACAATCTTTTGCATTTAATAAATAAATTTGTATACTATACAAAATCAATTTTAAAACTTACAAGTGTATAAAAAAATATAAGCAAAAATACTATTTTTGCTTGTATTTTTTTCCTTTTAATGCTTGTGCTCTAAATTTTTATTCAAAAGCAAAAATCCTCACATTTTTCTTATATATTTGTAATTGCTAAAATTTATTTTGCCAAGCATCAAATCCCTTAATGAAAATTAAAAATTTGTGACTTTAAACTCACCTTCATTGTTAATTTTTTTATTTAGTCATATCTTAACTAACTACTTACATTTTTTTGACTTTTTATTTTTGTTGCTAATTTATAATTTGTATAATCCTTTTTTTAGAAAATTTGTAATAATAGGCAATTTTTCTTCTCTTTGAAATACCTAAAATTGCTCTTCATTGTTATTTTTTTTATTTAGGCTATGTTTTAAGTTATTTTACATATATTTGAATTTTTCTAGTTAATATTTAAATAAGATTTTTTAGATTTTTATTAATATATTATTTGTTTACTTTAAGTATAATGTAAGACTATTATTTAGATAATATTTTTTAGATTTTGTTAATTGGGAATTCTTTATTAATTTTAATATTGATTTAAGAGTTGTAGTATCTTGTATCTAGAAATTTGTTAATATATTGAATATAGGCAATATTTTTTCTTTTCAAAATACCATTGTAAATTTTTTGTTAAAGCTATTTTGTTATAATTTAATTTGTTTACTTTAAGTATAATATAAGACTATTTTTTAGATTTTGTTAATTGAAATTTTTTTTCAAAAGTATTTTTTTTGTACAAAATATTTTTAATGTTTTTAAATATATATTCATTTTTCCAATAATAAAGAAAAATCCTACCCAAAATTATTAATAAATCCAATAATCCCACGTATTTCCAACGTTTTATAATACACAAAACCCACATATTTCCCACGTTGTTTAATACACAAATCCCACGTATTTCCAACATTTTATAATACATAAAACCCACATATTTCCCACGTTTTTATAATATACAAATCCCACGTATTCCAACGTTTTATAATACATAAATCCCACATTTTTCCAACGTTTTATAATACGTAAATCCCACGTTTTTTATAACATTAGGAACTAACGTTGTCATGTAACGTTACAAACCGGGACATTTCAACATAAAATTATACATAAAAGTTAGGTTTTGCCAACGTGGGAAAAACGTTGTTTTAACGTAAAATTTCTACTAGGGGTGGTCTTGGTCAGTGCTTGAGCCCAATTTTGCACGCCAAGCCTAGACGGCCCAGCTAGCACGATACATAACGCGAGCTCGTGCGATGTTCTGTTTAGGTCGCATAAATACATCTCGTTGAAAACATACCAGGTATATTGCCGATATATTATTTTTTAATATTGCACATCGATGTATTGTTACATGGGCGTTTCTCTGTAAACTGGGCAACTCATTGTCTCAAGCTAATATTGTTTAGAAAAATAACAGATCATAAATATTTCGTAGATAACTTCAAAAGATAATAACCTAATCTACCTATATGCTCGACGTTCAAAATCCAATAAAATAAACTTTAATGTATCAAAATCGTTTTTATAGTCCTTAAAAGATGTCTTACCTACAAGAATAATGGCATTAATCTCAAAACGGCATCAATAATTTATAAATCCATCTGCCGTCCCATCCTTGAATATGCTCCCTCCCTGTTTTTAAATTCCCGAAAATCTACCTTAAATATCCTGAATGTGGCTGAGACTTCTGCAATGAGAAAAATTACCAAAATGAGGCACCCAGGAAATCCACTCCACAACCCTCCCAACACCCTCCTTTATGAAAAATTTAAAATCAGCCCAATTTCTGCGAGATTAATAAAACTTTCCACCAACTTTGCCCAGAGAGAAGCCGCTTACCAGTTTCTGGCACCAGTACTGATTCCAAGAGACCTAGAGAGAGCTCCCACCTGAATCAAACATCCTACAAGATCCCTGGTTGAAGAAATGCAAGCTCTAGCTGACGAATGAACACATATACATATATATATATATATATATCTAATTTATTCTTTACATACACAATACTATGTTTTTTTTTTTTTGTTTTTTGCACTCTATCTAATTTCAATTTTGGTTTCTAACACGTGCAAATACATTACATTTATATTTTAATTAACCTTGGCTGAAGGACCTAGGTCAATGGCCTTTTGATTGTTGTTATTTTTATAATTATGATAATCAATAAATAACTATTATTATTAGTCCTTAAAAACCAGTCCCCTGACGTGTCACCAAAGCAAAATGGTCACTTCAGACTAAATTAATTAAAGACAGTAACTATTGGAATCAACCTAATTGTTTAATTATTCAACCAATATTGTTTGCTTGTTAATGTGACTTTTTTATTTTTTATAATTATTATTTTGTAATTCTAAAAAAGTCATCTAAACTTTGTCTCCGGATTTTATAAACAGTCCCCCGTTAGATTTTTCAGAAAATGCTCAATGTTTTCCAAAGTAATAGGACTATTTTTGGTTCATCTGCCGTATACTAATAAATATACCGATATTTATTCCTCGAATAACATTTATTAAATACAACAAAAATATAACAAAAAAACTTGCCTAGACAATTTCTTACTTCAAGTTGCCCAGTTTACAGAGAAACGCCCACATACCTATAACATGACATAAGTACTTGCAACAAACATCTAATGTAAATGTACCAAGAATGTAACTAAAGGTAATTTTAAGTATATTACTTGTCATATGATTAACGGTACAAACAATCGAAATTTCATTTATTAATATCTAGTATTATTGATGGTGATAATAAAAACTATCAATGTTATGTCAATTTTGCATTTATCAAGTTGTTATATGTCAAGTTGGAAGCCATTCATTTTAGGTTATCTCATGTTCTATTTCCCACCAAAGAACTGTTTACTGTGTCTATGCTGTGATCTTTTTTACTTATTCTTTTGTTTTTGTATCGGTGATTTTGGGACATCCTGTATATATGAAATTAGGTGGGTTTGCCGATGGGTTTTTCTTCACTGATAAAAATGGTTTTAGTGGCAAGGGGTGTACCACAATCCACAATTTGTGGATTGTAAGGTGTACTAAAGTTCATTAAAAAAAGTCAGTCATCTTATTTGGGCGATGTGCGAATTTTTTTGCTCGCACCCCCCAAAAAGTTGTAGTTTGGGGAAAAAAAAATTTTGGTAATTTTTTTAGATTTTTTTTTTAATTAACCCGTGCCGCAAGAGGGTTAAAGATTTAATTATTGTTAAAATATGATTAAATTTTGCCTTTCACTATAGGCTTACCACTCCACGATTTTTCAATGAAAAAAGTCTGTCGAGTGGTTTTCTTATAGTTCAAACACCGCTGAACCCGAATCTGAAATTCGTATTTTTTTTCATTAATCGTTTTTTTAGAATAGCCTGTGTCGGGAGTAGGTAAAATCGCAAATCGGATGAAAAATGGGATTAGTCTCTTTTCACATTCAAAGTCCTGTAACGTCGCCAGTTTTCAATAAAAAAATCTGAAAATTGGTATACTTATGGTTTTGACATCGCTGAACTCGAATATGACATTTTCATTGATGACAGCTGTCAAAATAGCTGTCCAAAATCCCAAAAAACGGTTTTTTTTATTAAAAATGACCATTTTATGGTCATTTCATGCGCTGAATCTGAATTTGATGTTAAAATAAACTTTTTTAATAATTTTTGTATTATTAAAAATTATGAATGGACACGTGAATTTTCGCCTCAGTCCGATGTTTAGGCTTAGGGTTCTAGTGCCAAATGTTTTTATTTGGGACTAGGGTTGCCAGATTCTGTCAAAAAAATAAAGGACATTTTGTGACAATTTACCTTAATTACAAAAATGACACAATCAACAATACTTAGATAACGTCAAATTCACAATAACAATATTGTTTTGTAATTAAGGTAAATTCTCACAAAATGTACTTTATTTTTTGACAGAATCTGGCAACCCTATTTGGGACCCACTGGCAGAATATAACATAAGGTTGTGATTGGCTGGTCCAGCGAATTTATCAAATGGGAGAACACTAATTTCTGCACCTGTATCGATGAGGAATGATATTTTTGATGAATCATCTTGTACGAAAAGGCGACACGGAGTTGAGAGAGGTTCGACTGTCGCCTCTATCGTTCCTCTCTGGAGTTTTCCTGCGTCGCTGAACATGGGCTGATGCATTTTTTTGCGGAGGTTCCAAATCGGCGGTGGTACCAGCATTTTTTGTCTGCGCTGGGCTCTCGTGTAGTGGATCTACCTCTTGACTCTGACCGGTCTCGAGATAACCTCTTTATTACTGATGTGAGTTCGGAGACTTGTTTCTGCAAACTCTCGAGGGAGTTGGGGTTTGATTCCGGAATGTTATGAACTGCTTGAACATGGTTGTGTCCCACTGTCTCATGAATTCTGTCGGCAATTGGGCCAAGCAACGCGAGATCGTCCCCAGAGACCAGCAATATGGTTTGTATATGGGTAGGTAGTCTCTCGAGCCATAAGGTTTGAAGTGTTTTATTTGAAACTTTTCCATCGTTTAGGTTTTGCATTTTTTGTAATAACTGGGATGGTCACTGGTCACCAAGTGTCAGTGTACTAAACAGCTTCTGTGTTTTCTTTACGTCACTGTCTGCAAATCGAGCAACCAGCCTCTCCTTTATGGTTTTGTATTTATCGTCAGCTGGAGGATTTCGTACAATTTCGGCCACTTCGCTTAAAACTTCGCAGCTGAGGCTAGCCACGGTGTAGTCAAACTTGCTATTGTCGGTTGTAATGCCGGCAGTACGAAATTGGCATTCAATGCGGTGAAACCATAGTTCTGGCTCGCTTTTCCAAAATTCTGGGGCTTTGAAGCTTACTCTGTGTACTTCATGTGCTCCCGCGCCTTCTTGCGTCATGTTTGTGTAAAGGAATATAAGAGTTTGTTGAACAAAGCGTGCACGTTGTTTTTGTTTGGATTGCGTTGTTTTGTCGTAAAACACAGGGGTCACCAATTGTGGGGGTATTTTAAGGTCACTAATTAAAACAGTTCACTTTTCTTAACTACGTAACAAGAGTATTTTATTTATTCGTTACAAACTTATATCTTTGGATTTATTTCTACCGAAAAAGTGCGGCAAATTGCTTGTCAGTCTCTACTGTCACTTTTTCACCTCTGCCAACATTTCTTGTGTTGCCAACTTAGGTTTGTTCCTTACTTCGGTACAGTAGTGACGCCACAGAACTATCGATAGTAAAATTTATCGATAGTTTCCCAACTCTACTACGAGTACGAGTCGTTGCCAGATGTAAAAGTTGAAATTATCGAATTGGGTTAATAAAATTATCGAATTTTCGGAAAATTATGTTACAATAATTGTAATAATTATGTTACAATAATTATTATAATTTAATCATAAAAAAGTGAAGGAAGCAGGGTTGAAAATATTATCGATTTTTTGGAAAATTATAAAATTTGTTAAAAATACTATAAACCTGGATTTATAGTTCAGAAAGTAGCGGTAGCGGTAATGGCGGCCCCTCGCATAAACACTAAACTTACAAGGCGAGGCTGTCAACTAAAAACTGCCATGTGATTGGCTGGAGTAGCGGTTGAGGTAAGAAAAGATGAAAGATGGTCATCTCTTGCCGCTACGTTCTTGCCTCTACTTCCCTTACCGCTACCTCTGACAACTATAAATTGTTTCATATAACATTCAATGCCCAACTTGGCTACCGCTACCGCTGCCTCTACCGTTACCTTATAAATACCGTACGGGAGTCTATAAACAGCACTACGGTATTGTTGATCTTTTACGGCAGGAAGGAAGGGAATCTATAAATCAGGCTTTATGCTTAATTAAATTAATTAATCTGGATAGAATTAAGTTAATTTTGTCCAGATTCTTGGATTAAAAATTATGTTACAATTATCGATTATGGTACATATAATTTTCAAGCTTTGTTTTTAGAAAAATTTATGTTACAATTCGATAATTATGTTACAAGTGGTAACACTGAGTACGACTAACAATACGCGGCGAACGTCGATCATGCGATTTCCCCACTCATGCCGCGTGCATTTTAGTAAGGTCGATTTGAATTAACCAGGTTTCGGTACCGAAATAACAAAAAAATAGCAAAAGGCGGACTTGTCTGATTTTCATTTTCATGTGGGGTAGAAATGTCTTGTTTTGTTCGAACATAACACTATTATATGAGAATCTAACAGGGACATGTATTTTTTTTAAACGATTTGTAGGGGCGAGTCGATAGAAATGATAGGAAAGATTAAAAAATTAGTATAAAACAAATTTTGTTTTTTTGTGGACATGTCCCTTTTTGAATAAACGCTCCTCAAATGGTGTCTTTTATATTATTGTGGTATTACTTGAATTGTAGTTTTTCGAATATCTTATATGCTCCTGAATATTTACTTAATATCCAGTATCCCTATTAAAAATGCCATATAGAAACACAAAATAAAAATCTATCTGGTTCAATATGGGAATTTGAAACAGGCATTGCACTATTGAACCAGATAGAATTCCATACCTGGAAAACCATATAGAAAAGTGATTTCTATATGGATTGCCATATAGGTTCATATTGCTCTATCTGGCCCAATTGATATGGTTTGGGTGTAAAAAAATTATTACCATATAGATCCATATTTGACCATATAGGGGAATCTATATGGTTTAATATGCAATTTTCGTTTAAATATATATACATTTTAAAATGGATTTCCATATTCAACCATATAGGGACACCTATATGGAAAGACACATAAAACAGAAACCAGATAAATCCATATAAAAATCCCTAAGTTGTACATTTTAAAATGAAATTCCATATTAAACCATATAGATTCCAAAGTGTAAACCAGGTCGTTCCATATCCGTCCGGATAGTTACCGGATATCCGTTTCATCTCTACTTATATGCTAATAATGATATTCTGTTGTAAATTTTAAAAATACCTAAACTTGATCTCATCAAAACAAATTTTACCTCCTCTGCTTTTTTTGGAAAAACTACGCCAAATTAAAATTTGCTTTATTTAGCGATTTTAGATTGAAATGTGTTAATTAGTAATTTGGTGAACCATTTAATAAGTTATACATACCAATCTAAAGGAAAAGTTTTGTTGGTTTATATTTTTCTATACATTTTAAATAACCTTTATTTTAAAATATTACAATCAGAAAGGCAAAAAATTAAAATATTTATAATACACCTAATTGAACCACAAGACCTATATATTAATTTGCCAGTATATGCGAAAACGGGGTAACTTCAAAACACTAAAAAATAGTGTATATTGCAAAAAAATCTGCATAAAAATTAATAGTTTAAATAAAAAATCAATGCATTTTGCCTTTTTCACATGAACCCGCGAATTATTATTATTATTAACATAACTTTAGTTGTGTTGGGTTCAACTTTCGGGATAAAATCGAAATAAAACAAAACAAGCCAATTTTTATCAACATGACATTGTGTTATAAATAGAAAAAACGCAACCAAAATGTATAGGTCCTTAAAACCACAATGTAGTATTTATTAAAACAACCAAAAACGTTAAATTACTTTGTAATCACGTTTTATATAATTGCATTAGAAACTATAATATAAAATAGACTGAATATTGTGGTGAACGGCAGGGAGTGAGCCCAGTCCAAAGCAAATGTACAGTTGACAACACCGAAAATGTAGTTAGGCTGTAGGATCATCCCCCCCAATGTTGAATGAATGAAATATAGTTGTTTTCATCTAACATGTGAATTGTGGTGGGGTTTCGGGGGCCGGGGCATCACATGGCATACTTGCGAGTCCACTCACGCGCTAACTCGTTGTACTTTTCCCGATCAGTTTTGTATATCCTAGCGATTTCCGGAACTAATGGATCATCTGGATTAGGATCACAAAGTAGTGAGCAGATGGATAACAGCACTGTAACAATAAGATTTTATTTAATAATATTAGGAACAATCTCTGATGCAGTCTGAGGCGAAAATTGGACAGATTTTGTTGTGGGATAAGGATATCAAATATATGAGGATACTGTTACAACACTGGTATTGGTTTAATATTTACGATCTGGTATTAATTTACTAATTTTAAGAATTTAAAGAATTTCAAGAATACAGGTAAAAATACCTATTCGTAGTTGCGAAATGTTGTTTTGAGATTTTTTTAAAATCCTAAAAAGATTATAAACTTTATAATTTCATTTTACTTTTATATTTTACTAAACCCCCCCGAAATTTTGTTCTACCTACGCGCCTGCTAATCAACGTATGTCCAAAGTGCCAGCTTATCGAGATACAAGTTTGAAATGTTAATCTTTTTAATATCAGAAAAACTACCGGAGCTATTCATTTGAATTTTTGGACCAAATAATTTATTGAAGTTTCTGACTAAATTATAGATTTTTACTCTCAGTAGAGTCAGCACTAGATGGGGAGACAACATTTATTACCAAAACTATGTTACACTACTGGCTTATAGTATAAGACTTATACAGATATGTTGCACAATATCTATTGTTCTATTCACAACAGAAATTGCATCTATTATTTTTTTCGTACAAAGCAGTTTGTGAGACAATAAATAGGGGAATATCGTGCGTAGTTCGTGTTCTTAAAAACAAAAACATCAATAAATTACAAATTTATTAGAATGTCAATCTAAAATTCCCACGCCACTGCTGAGAGTACAAAAAACTCAAAATCTATAAATTAGTCAAGCACTTCAATAAATTATTGTCCAAAAAATCAAATGAATAGCTCCGGTAGTTTGGACATACGTTGATTAGGACTTTTCACATTATTTCTACGTATTCTATCTACTGCCGAAGTTTGGTCCACACGACAAACTTTTAGGATCGATATAACGGAGATATAGGCTGTCAAATTTTGCACAAACAAATCTTTTGAATCACTTAACCAATTTTGTTTGAATTTATCAACGTTTAGTCTCTATTGAACAATAATATAACAATATATATATATATATATATATATATATTAGGGTGGGTCAAAAAAACCGACTATTTTTTTTTACTTGGTACTCTGAAAAATCGGTTACTAGACACCTCTAGAGAATTCTCACCAAACATGAGCTCTTAATTTTGATAACAAGGTCCTCCGCTTTACAATTTTCCATTTTTTCCTCAATATTAGAAACAAAAATTTATATCTCTTCGACAACTGTTCGTTAAAAAATATCTCTCCCCATATTCTTGTAGGAAATCGAACGCTCTACAAAAAAGGTCTCTTACAATTTTTTCGTAAACCTCACCGTTAAAAAGATATCGAAGGTTCAAGTTGAATTATTTTAAGAGAAATTTCTGTTTTGCTTATGAATTTTATAACTCACTTACAAAAATTTTTTATGAATCGCGCAACTCATAGTTTTGTAGGAAATTAACTGCTCTACAAAAATGGTCTCTTATGATTTGTCAATTAAATTAAGCGTTTAAAAGATATTCATCGTCAAACTTAAATGCATACTAATTTTAACAGTTTTTAATATATATTAGGGTGTGCCAAAAAAACTCGAAATAGTTTTTTTCTTGCTCTCCACCCAAACTATCGTAGAATATGTCCGAACAAATATTCTGTTAAAAGCGGAGCTCATAATTTCAATTTTAAGAGGTCCCTCATCGAATCTGAAGTTTTGCCGCTTAAATAACACAGAAAACTGACTTTTTTACCTTATTTATTCTTGCAACCTAGGAAGATTTTTTTTTTATAAAATCCATGACTAATTCTTACAAAGCATTAAATTTGGACAAAAAAATCTTATTAAGCCGAATTTCTATTTTCATTATTTAATTTTTTACATAGCTTTAAATTTAAAGTTAATAATACAAAAATGATGACTTTATACGCCTGTAACTTTTAGAATATTGACGATATAAAAAATTTGCCTAAAACTTTTTTGTGGTCCATCAGACAAGCTAAAAAATTGCCATTTGACTTTTTCGTCTAACTTCAATAGTTTAGCTGAAAAAGGCAAAAAACGTAAAATTTTAAATTTAAAGCTCTGTAAAAAATCAAATAATGAAAATAGAAATTCGGCTTAATAAGATTTTTTCGTCCAAGTTTAATGCTTTGTAAGATTTGGTCATGGATTTTATGAAAAAAAATTTCTTCCTGCAAGAATAAATAAGGTAAAAAGGTCAGTTTTCTGTGCTATTTAAGCGGCAAAACTTCAGATTCGATGAGGGACCTCTTAAAATTGAAATTATGAGCTCCGCTTTTAACAGAATATTTGTTCGGACATATTCTACGATATTTTGGGTGGAGAGCAAGAAAAAAACTATTTCGAGTTTTTTTGGCACACCCTAATATATATATATATATATATATATATAAGGGGTATGAGGGGTACCTCCATCTTTTCTCCCCTATTTCTTACGCCGCTGGTTATTTAAAAAAAAAGGTCATATTTACGTTTAATTTGGAAGAAAAAGAAACTCTTGGGAAACATTAATTAGAGGCTTCGATATATTTGGTTTTAAAACATGTTTTTAATTGAAAATGATTTTAGGCTTATTAAAAATTAAGTAAATAAGTGTGATTGATTGTCCAGATCACGGTTATATACGCATATAAGACCATGGTCCAGACGAGAAGTTAATTAACCCAGGGAACACCCACTGTTGCCACGTTTCTCCGCGTCATCTGTCAAACAAAACTATTAAAACCATAAAACCAAACCAACCCAAACTCAACAACACAACCCAACCGACCCCGCCCCAAAAAGTTCGACAACTTCTAGTAGATTTTATGTTACAATAAAACTAAAACAAACCAACCAACCCAACCCAACCGAACACTGTTTAACAAAGAAACAACAAATTTATGAAATAAAAAAATAAAAAAAGTTCGACAGCTTCTTAGTATCGAACCCGGGACCTCTCGCATGCCAAGCGACCGCCCTACCATCTGAGCTATCTAGCTTGATATCAAATGTTAAACGCTCGGGGAACAAAAACGGATTATAATTATGACGTAACAAATTTACACAGTACAGGCGTCATAGATAATAATAATAATAATAATGAAATTTCGTATAAGAAATTAGGTTAAAGATTTGTTTACGTTTACGTGGCAACAGTGGGTGTTCCCTGGGTTAATTAGCTTCTCGTATGGTCCAGACACATCTGTCATCTGTCAACCGTCATCTGTCACCTGTCATGAAAAGTTTTGAGAAAAAAACAATTTATTTTTTCCAACCAAGAACACTAATTTAAAAGAAAACGACGTACACGTCATCAATCAGCTGATCGGGCACGGTTGTCAATGTGATGCTAAAATCATTGCATTAAGTGAAAGTGATAGTGCAACTACAGGGTAGTGATGTAAATATTCGTATCTTTTTGATATTCGGATAATACGTTTATATAAATAAAAACAATATTTTTATACATCATGTTTTTATTTTTTAAATAAGCATCGTACCCCTATGTTATCGTAAGTATACTTGGTCCGCTATAGCGGACCCAGACCAAGCGCCTTTCCCGCGATTCCGAATGCGCCGGTTGTAACCATCCGCACTCGGATTTTCATAGCGCATTTGCTTTGCGCATTCGAAATTTGTTTCCGTAAATTTTGATTCCGAATCCGTATTCGAATTTACAGATTGATTCCGGAATATCCGGATCCTTTAAATATTCGGATTTAACGGATGTTTGGATACGTATTCTTACATCACTACTACAGGGCGATAGATGGCGTTTACATGAATAATACCATAGGCACCGCCAAAAGTATGTTTTTAGCCAATTTTAAAGACATTTTCAGCTATAAAACCCAGAAATGTTGCCATCTAAAGTCAGTCTCTATTATATACCGTATATATATTATTATTTTATGTATCCAACATATATTTTGTTAAATATTCTAATATATAATTAATAATAATCCTATTTAACTCTCTAACAGCTGTTAAAGGTAACAAAGGTCCATTATTATCCCGTTCTGCCTCAAAATAGCGTATTAAGGATGATACCAACTCTTGACTCCGACTATTTAAATGCTTCGGTATTTTAAATATAGAAAAAACAAAAAAACGATATATAACAAACACAAAAACGGCAATGAAAACTTAAACGATATAAAATAACACAAACAACAAACATTATACATAAATATAAATTATACACGAATTAAACGAAATATTCAGAAACACAACTGACAGCTTCGAAATTCTAAAACGTCAATTTCTTTTTCTATGCGTCATTTTATTAAGCAAAACTTTAATCTTAACATGACAACATTGCAATTGCTGCCAACTTAATTTGGTTAAAATGCATAAAAATATTCAATTAGACTTCGTTTTATACATTTAGTATTGGTACCAGTGCGCAAAATTATGACGTCATCGATGACGTGTACGTCGTTTCCTTTTAAATTTACTATATTAATAGTGTTCTGGGTTCCAACTTTGACGGTTAATATATCAGTTATTATGCGTTTGTTTCCTAGAATAAAAAATAAGACGATAGATCGATCCTGAAAGTTTGTCGATTAATACCTGGATAACCCTATATACAATTTATATCATAAGAATTTCACCAGCCAATATACACAAAATATATACAAAAGTGCTGTTTTAGTTCCACCCTTACTTCCAAAAGCTAACTGAATAGCTTGTGTGGGTTAGGGGTAGAAACGGACTGCGGGCTTAAAGTCCCATCCGAAAAACTAATACACAAATAGTTTATTGAAAAATAAGGGCAGTTTGTCAAATAAACTATGGTCGAATTTTGCTTCCCCTGAGATAAAGGTATCTTCTTTTTAGAGTTTTGTTTATTATCCTCTGAAATATAAAATATTTAAATTTGGCATGCATCTATTTTTAAAGAAAATACATTATTTAAATTATTTTTGTTTTTTAACATTATACTGGGACTAGAGATGCAACTTAAAAAAAACGGTCGG